AGGTGGGGTAGGGAGGGAGGGGCAGGGCCGGGGGAAAGGTGATGGCAGAAGAGGCCATTAGCTGGGAGACGGACCAGCGGAGAGCAACGGCGGGGACGTCACTGTGCCACCGACGGCTGCGGGGCGCCGCGCTGCATGCAGGGGTCGAAACGACGTCGCCCTGCCCAGCGCCCGCCGCCCATGCGCCCCCCTCCTTTCAATGCATGCGGCCGTCATGGGGCGGCTGCAGCGCCACACCCTGCATGCATGGATCCATGCAGCCCACCATGCCGACGATCTGCTCCACCAGCTGCTCCTTGTCGGCCTGGCTGGTGGACTTGGGCCGCAGCTTCTCCCACAGCTGCACCGCCTCCTGGATGGTCGCGAAGTTGCGGCGGAACTTGGTCTTCTTGGCCACAGAGACCTCCTTCTGCTCCTTCCTGAGTGCGGGGTGGCGCAGGCATGCAACCGATACAATGAGAGGCATGTGGGTTGGCAACTGAGTCGCGCCGTTTGGCTGCCGACGCCTGCTGCGCGGTGCGGGGTCAGACAGAGACGACGCGTCTGCGTAAGGCATGCTGGCATGGATGGGCACGGCCCAGGCAGGGCGGCGAAAGCCGGCGCCGTCGATACAGGCACGGGGCCCACAGCCGCCGCTGATGGTGCCGCCGCAGTCGTGATCGCGCACCTGGACATCGGCTGTGCGGGCTTGGCAGGCGCGCTGCGGGGCTTGTCAGAACCTCCACCCTTGGCAAACTTCTTTGCTGGAGGCTCCTGCCCCTGGGCAGGCCGCTTCTTGCCGCGGGGCTTGTCCTGCGCCATGGCGTCTCGGAAACGGTAACTTAGCGCATGCCGTTGATCCCGAGCAACTCTGACCATGCACTTATCAAAAGTATAAAGAGCAAGGGCAAAACAAGGTGGACAAAAACAAGAATCCTGGCGGCGCCTCCCTGATACCGGCTTCTTGTGCTAAAGTGGCGTCAGCGCAATCAATAATCACCATCATATTTTGCTTCATACTAACCAACAAGCTTGACTCGTTACCAGATCATCACAGACACTTCCGTGACGCTGCTCAGCGCTTTGCTGTCTGTTAAAGCATCATTACTTGATACCAATCTCGTGTCGCTTGGTGCCACGTGGAGAGCCTCTAGCCTGTGGTGGGCTGGCGCGGTCGCCTTCGGGGCAGCGTGCTGAATCCTCTACTGCAGCCGCCGCACACCGGCATAACGCCGCCCATTCTGCTTCGATTCATACAAAAGCACCGGCGGCAGCCCAAGTGCGCAGCCCATAGGGCCCTGGGCGCCCACTAGCAGCCATGCGGCCCCTCACAGAGGAGGTGAGCAACCGCGAGGCTAGCAGCGTCGCAGGCGAGGGCGGCGGCACTCACACCTGTCCCTGCGGTGGCCTCCGCTTCACGCGCTCTATTGGCTCGCCAGCCGTGGCTTCGCCTTTACTCTTTACTGGCGCTAAGCAAGCATGCGCAGGCTCCCTCTTACGCTCTGGCTGCACCTGGGGCCCCCCAAACAAACCCCTCAAATCGCCCTCACCCGCCCCTCACCCCAGGAGACCAAGGCCGTGTTTGAGAAGCTCTACAAGTTCATAGGCAAGGACATCAAGAGCCTCATAGAGCGTCCGGACGGCCTCTACTGCTTCCGCCTGCACAAGAACCGCATCTTCTATGTCAGCGAGTCCATCATGAAGCGCGCCACAAACGTGAGCGCCGCCGCCACCGTCCCCGCCGTGCGTGCGCGCAGGCAGGCGCCGCCGCGGGCGGGCGGCAGCGTGGGCGCACGGGCGCGCCCGGCCGGGCTGGGCGCGCGTCCCTGCGACAGAGCCACGCCGGGCGCGAGACCGGCCCTGCCGCACGCCCCGATTTGACTGTCCTTTCGCCCCCCGGTGCCCACATCGGCGTCAAAATGCCTGGCCGTTCTCAGGTGGGGCGCGACAACCTGGTGTTCCTGGGGACCTGTGTGGGCAAGCTCACACACTCGGGGAAGTTCCGGCTCACCATCGGCGCCCTGGACATCCTCGCACAGTTCGCAAAGCACAAGGTGGGGCCCCGCGTGCGGCGCTGCTCATCACTCTGTGGCACACGTGCATGTCGTGTCTGTTGAGTCGTGCACATGCACATGCGCACGTGTGATGTGTCAGTGTGCTTGTGCTTGTGCTTGTGTGTGTGTGTGTGTGTGTGTGTGTGTGTTTGTGTGTGTGCTAGTGCATGCACGTGTGGGATCAGGCATGTGGGCTCCCAAGGATGACACAACCACTCACTCCGGACATCCGCTGACGGGTGAATCAACTTTTCATCTTTCCACTGAGGGAACACACTGCGTGTGTATGTGTGTGTGCGCGCGCATGCGTGCGTGCGTGTGTGTGCGTGCATGCGTGCATGTATCCATGTGCGTGCTTGTTCCCCTTGTTTGGCACCCCTCACGCCACTGAGAGCAACGGCCAATGACGAAACACGATTTCTCAGTCCTTTTGTCAGACACTCGCTGACGACAATCCATCACCTTTCTCCAACCGAGGCCGCGTGCAGCCATGAATCGACCCAGCCCATTCTGTCCGTGTCCCACATGCAAACCCACATTCCCCTTCCGGCCTGCATGCGGTGCTCTACCAAACGCCGCGCCTCATGTTGGCCACCCCCCCCCCTTTCTCACCACGGGCCAGGTGTGGGTCAAGCCGTCTGCGGAGATGCAGTTTCTGTACGGCAACCACGTCGTCAAGTCTGGCCTGGGCCGCATCACCGAGAACACGCCGTCCTACACCGGCGTCGTGGTGTACTCGATGTCTGACGTGCCCCTCGGGTTTGGCGTCACCGCCAAGAGCACCAACGAGTGCCGCTCCATGGACCCCAGCGGCGTCGTGGCGTTCCACCAAGCGGACTGCGGGGAGTACTTGAGAGCGGAGGACGACCTGTGAGCGGCGGCGGGCCGCCTTGGCCGCCTCGCTGCCTCCTGCTTCTTTGCTTTGTAAAGTGTGTCAAATTCCTTGGTTTTTGGTCTCGTCACCGTTCCAGTTGGTCCCACTTGCTCGCAACCGCTTCCGCTGGCGCACTTCTTAAGTGCTGCTTTGCCTGCTTGGCCCAGGTGCCTTGGCTGAGGCTCACAATTGCAGCTGCCGCTGTAAATTCATGACCCGTGGCCCGAGGCTGCCTGTTCAGCTGGCCGCAACAGCGCCCTTTCAAGGGTAAGGCGCCGCTGCCATGAGCACACTGTTGCAGAATCAAGCGGCACGATGCGATGCCACCACTGCTCAGCTAGCACTGCAATTGCCCGTCAGGGCCGGGCACCCCCACTCGCAAGGTTCGGTGCGACTGCCAGCAGGCGGATAGCAAACGAATTACAGGTTTACAGGGCAGCAGAGCTGCGGTCAGCCACTGCCAGACAGCCACACGGTGCGCTCCGCGCGGCGGCCGCCGCCGCCGCCGCGCTCACTCCATTTCCAAAAAGTCGAACCGCGCGCGCATGGTGCCTCTCAACCGCGCCTCCTCCCGCTCCGCGCGCAGCGCCTCGCGTATGACGGGCTCCGCCACCAGCCGCATGCCCGGCGGCGCCTCGTGGTTGGGATCGAGCTGGCCCATGAGCACTAGGTTCTCGCCGCGCAGCAGGTACATGCCCAGGGGGATGTCGCTGTATTGGGCGCCGACGATGATGCGCTCCACGGCCTCCTCCAGTACGAGGTTGGCAAACTGGTCAAAGCTGCGCAGCACGCCGATGATCTTGCGGCCGTCGCGCAGCTGGATGAGCAGCTTCTTGTCAAGCTCCTCGACGAGAGCGGTGCCGGGGGGCGGGTAGTCGAGCTGCGGCGGCGCGGGCGGCGCGCCGGCGCCGGCACCGAGGGGGACGGCGGCCATGGCGCGCGGGGCGGGCGCGGCGGGCGGCTGGGCGACGCTGCGTACCGCCGCCGCGGCCGGCTCGCGAGCTGCCTGCTAACTTGTTGATGCGCCCAGATTTAGGTGGCTTGTAGGGATGCACAGGTCCGCCGCTGTCGTTCAGTGCCGTGAGCAGCTGCAGCAGCGCTGTTGAACAGCATGCGCCTTGCGCCTGAGACCCCGTTGGCAGTACTGCACGTCCACCTGCCTGTCCTCTGGTCAAAAGCAATTCAGCGACGCTTACAGATGAGTGTATGGAGGGAGGCAACAAGCAGCAAGCAACGTGATCTTGCAGTAAGTGAGTATAGAGTATCAATTGAGGCGTGTTTAATTTACGGGTGGACAGTAGTTTTGGTGCAAGGGGAGTCTAACTTGTGCGCAGATGCTTCACTTTGCGCCACGAACGATCTGAACCGATCTTAGGGTGGGTGCGGGTAGGCTGCACCAAAGCACAAGTCGCCCGTATCAATCTTCTACAATCCGGTGTCCCCTTGGTCCCACGCCAGGCTAGCACAACGGTATGATACCGCATTGGGGGATGGTCAACTGCAGTGCGTCGGGTTGTCTCGTGGTCAGCTTTGAAGGCTCGAGGCCAACATACCCCAGTGTGAACCATGCGAATCCAGATGAGCCAGCTAGTTGACAGGAGTGTGCTGCCTACTCAATAAGGGGTCGACGGGTGACGCGGTTTGCAAGGGGAATCATGAAAACCCGAGAGTTACAACTTTGACTCAACCCAAGCCGCACAGAGCTAGGAGCAAGTGCGTCATGAGACGGTGGCGGCCAAACTCACGCGCGCGTACAAAGAAACTCGAAAGCCCTGGACGCCCCCGCGCCGAAAATCAGCGGGCCGGCTCCTGCCGCGCCGCCGCGCCCGCGCCGCCTGCCGGCCGCAGGATGGGGGCAGTGTCATGGCACAGCCGCTGCAGCTAGGGACCAGCGGGTGCGCTCGATCGGAACCCTCGCGGCAACAGAATCGTGGAGGGGGGCGCCGCGGGGGGGCGGCGGGCAGGGACCGTGCATGCGGTCCATCAGGTGTGGCTGGCGGGGGGCGGGGGGCACAACGCTAATACGTGGGAGTACCTTGAAACTCTGTTGCAACACGCTCTCTTGCAATTCTCCGGGCCACGCCCCGCCCCAGACTGTGTTGGCGAACAAAAATGTTGCGGGCAGTTCTGCAGCGGCCAGCGGCCCGGCGCCCCGCCGCGCCGCAGACACCAAACGCTCGCGCCCGCCGCGGGCGCGGTGGCGGGGGCGGCGGCACAACGCTACGGCGGCAGGTGTTGCGAGGGCCGCGCCGTTGCAGGGACGTCTACAAGAGGCGACTCAGCCCTGAAAATTCGACGGGCGGCGCGGCCCACTTGACCGCGGCTGTGACAGAGGGGTAAAGCAGCGGCTCGGCGTGCGAGGCTGCCTGGACGAGCGAGGTCTGCAGCCATGGTGCGGGTTGCGTTTCGCTCGGCCGCTTGGGGGCCAGGGAGGGGTCCCCCAAGGCACCAGCCCCGGCTGGGCGCGCTGGCGGGCCCGGCACGGCGGCGGGCCGCCGTCTTCGCTGCGCAAGGCACGTGCACGCATCCGCGCACGCAACATGCGCCAGCGCCGCGGCGGGGCCGTCCCTTCAAAGTCTGCATTGTGGCGCTCGGCGGCGGGCAGGGTTGGTGTTTGGCGCGCGGCACGGGCACACGCGGCGCCCACGGCCCCTGCCGCGGCCTCGACGCCGCCAAAAAGGGGCCAAACCGGCAGAGTCCAGGGTGGCCAGCCGGCCATGGCTCATGCCGGCGGCGGCGCTGTCGTTGTCATCAATCTTTCAATTCCTCTCAGAGAACAAATCTTTTAGGAGGCCCCCGGCCCACGCCCTGCCACAGGCCGCCCATGCGCCCACGCCCCTGCGGCTCTCTGGGCGCGATGCGACACGGGCGTGTACGCACGTGCGCGCCCACGCCAAACTGCGTCAGTGCAGCCGCGTGAGCGGGGCGGAACGCTCCTCATCCTCTGACCCGCCCGCATGGACTTCGGCCTGGGCCTCGAGCACCTGCTCCTGCAGCAGCTTCAGCTTCGCCGCCGCGGGCCCCGCCGGCTCCTCGGCCCCGTCCCCGCCGCTGGCGCACGCGTCGGCATCAGTCACGTACTCGTCGGTGTCCGCCCGGCTGCCGCTGCTGGCGCCGCTGGCGCCGCCGCTGGGGCCGCCGACGGCGCAGGGGCTGGGGGGCTCCGGCGCCGTGAGGCGCGCGACCGCGGCGGCGGCGCGCTTCAGCTCTGCCTCCTCCTCCTCCTCGGCCGCCGCCTCCTGCGCCGCGGGGCGTGGGCGAGGGGGATTTTGAGCACGTGCATGTGAGCGATCGGGCGTGAGGCAGCGGCGCGCAGCGAAGGGCGCGGACAAGGGCGCGACCGCCGGCACCCCCGCCTGCCTGACACGCCGTGGCTCCCGCATCTGGCATCCTTGTGACCCTTTAAATTCAAGCCGGCATCAGGCCAGGGCCCCTCTCCTCCCGCCTTTGCCCCTGCCCAACAATGTACCCCCATCTCGCGCCCTGCCCAACAACATACCTCATCACGCTCCCCTCCCCTCAACCCTGCGTCGAGACACTTTCCCCCCAACACAAATACACAGACACAGACACAGACACAGACACAGACACACACACAAGCATGAGCCTGAGCACACGTCCCTCCTACCAAGCCCCTCAAGGCATGCCTTACCCCACCCTTTCCCCCAAACACACCCACTACACACACACAAACACACATTGACCACACAAGTGCACACGCGCACACACACGCACGCGCGTGCACGCATCCACATACACACACACACGAACCCACCTGCGCGAGCGCGAGCGCCCTCTGCAGCTCCTCGTAGCGCGCCATGATCTCCTGCCGCCGCGCCGTGAACTGGCTGGGGAAGAAGCCCGGGAAGTAGCGCTGGATGAAGCCAAACACGAGGACGTGGCCCAGGGGCGTCAGGGGGATGATGAGGATGATGATGAAGGGGATGAAGGTCAGCAGGTCGCGCGCGGTGCGGCGCAGCGCGGTGACCTGCGGGGTAGTTTGGGGGGGTGGGGGGGGGAGGGGGCAGCGGGGGGAAGACGGATGAGGTGGGGGTGATGGGGTGAGGGGATCTGGGGCGTTTCCGGAGGGGGACGAGAGGGAAGGACGCTCAGGGAAGGGGCGCTCTCCTTGAATGCGGGTAGGCGGCCGCGAGCGCCGGCGCCGCGACCTAGACGGCGCAACGACGCGCCCGCCATGCCCGCCGATGGGGTGGGGTGGGCGCCCTCGCCGGGCGGGCGGGCGAGCGCGCTGAGGTCGGGCCGCGCGCCGCGCACCTCCCGCGGCTTGAGGATGCCCCCGAGCGCCGCCTTGCTGAAGAGGCGCCCCGCGTTGCCGACGTCACTGCCCAGCAGCCGCACGCCGCGCGTGAGGAAGCCGACGCCCTCCCCGACCTTGTCGGCCCCCTCCTTGGCCTGCAGCCGCAGCTTGGTCGCGCTGAAGGGGTTGCTGCCAAACACCTGCACGTCGCTGCGGGAGTTCAAGGGGGGGGGGTGGGAGGACGGGCGGGAGGGCGTCGGGAAAGCGGGCCGCAGGCTGGGTGGTGTCCAACATCTCCAGGCATGTCCAGTTGCAGGCTGTCATTCCGCACCCTGCCAACAC